CGTCCTGCGTCCGTAACTTTTACTTTAAATGACATCTCCTCATAAACCACAAAGCCAATTTCATCCAAACTTCACAGGAATTTTCCTTTGGTGGTCACCTTTGAAAATTGTTCAAAGAATTTAATTCCATGCAGAACTCTGGTTGCCATGGCAACAAAAAAAAACAAACTTTAAATATCTTCTTCTAAAAAACCCAAAGAGCTAGAGCTTAGATATTTGGCATGAAACATCTTCTAGTGAGTGTCTACCAAGTTTGTTCAAATAAAAGCCCAGGGGTCAAAATTGGCCCCGCCCCGGGGGGTCATTGATTTTCCCTATATGCATATAGTAAAAACTTAAAAAATCTTCTTTTAAAGAACCCAAAGACCTAGAGCTAAGATATTTAGCATGAAACATCTTCTAATGGGTGTCTCTAAGTTTGTTCAAATAAAAGCCATTGGGTCAAAATTGGCCCCGCCCCAGGGGGTCATTGATTTTCCCTATATGCATATAGTAAAAACTTAAAAAATTCTCTTTTAAAGAACCCAAAGAGCTAGAGCTAAGATATTTAGCATGAAACATGTTCTAATGGATGTCTACCAAGTTTGTTCAAATAAGAGCCCTGGGGTCAAAATTGGCCCCGCCCCGGGGATCATTGATTTTCCTTATATGTGTATAGCAAAAACTTAAAAACTTCTTTGAAAAAAACCAAATAGCTAGAGTTTAGATACTAAGCATGAAACATCTTCTAGTGGGTGTCTACCAAGTTTGTTGTAATAAAAGCCCTGGGGTCAAAATTGGCCCCGCCCCGGGTGTCATTCATTTTCCTTTTATGTGTATAACAAAAACTTAAAAATCTTCTTTGAAAAAACTCAAATAGCTAGAGTTTAGATATTAAGCACGAAGCATCTTCTAGTGAGTGTCTACAAAGTTTGTTCAACTAAAAGCCCTGGGGTTTAAACTAGCCCCGCTCCGGGGGCTTATATACAGGTGAGCGACTTCAGGGCCATCGCCATCCTCTTGTTTCACTTAAATTCCTATTTTTTTATCTTTTGTGATAAACATATCGCGAAACAACTAAGTTTCATTCAAACACAGTGGAGTTGATGTCATGTGTGACTAAATTGCATAAAGTCACATGTTGTACTTACTTCAACTCATGCAGAAATGCTATACTTGATTAATTGTCATATGTTATCAGAAAAATAATCAGAAACTGTTTGTTTTAAATGGAGCAATGAAAATTGAAAACGGTTTTAAATGGAGCAATGAAAATTGTCCTACTTTGACTATATCAAAATAGTCACCTTTTTAAAATTGTGATAAAAAAATTTCCAAGGAAGCAACATTTATTTTCAAGTGATGACTGTAGAACAGATCTTTTGTAAGTGATACCAGCTGGCAGATCTAGACAAGTTTCCATAGTGGGTAAGGTAAACAGGTAGTAATGATTGGATTCTTTAACCATTTTGCTACCCAATTGGCGTACTAAGAAGTGACACCTTCAGCTGCCCTTTTTGTACACATTAACATGTAGGAGGCAGTACACAGTTTCGGCTGTTTAGTTTCGAATTGGCCAGGGTGAATTTAAAAATAAAAAGTTTTGAAAATTTGAAGTGGATTTTTGAGGGTTTAAAATTTTTTAATTATATTTTTTAATTTTCAATGACAGTTTTGTTTTAGTTTTTAAAAATTGAATTTTGGGTTTTTGTTTTTTTTGAGAGACCGGGATGGAAATGGGTTTTGGGATAGGGGGTGATCACCCTTTAAATTTAAAGGGTATGCGAAATTGAAATAGTAAAAAAGTGGGTGCATGACCCCCCGTTGGTGTTTTTTCAGATTGGATTGTTTAAAAAAGGAGAATACTATAGCTTTTGTTTTAATCTTTTGGTTGTAGGAAAAAATTCTAAAAAATATGGAAAATTTAAAAACATAAACTGGACCCACGATAACAAAAATTTTACTGAAATTTTTTTATGAAAACTTGAAATATGGGTAGATGGACAGTCTGGAGATTATGCACATCTTTTCTTCCTTTGTTGAAAATTTCTCTGGTTGCTATGGCAACAAATAGCCTGAATTTCAAGATTTCTGATTTAAATTTTTCAAGCTTTTCACTATAAAGTTCTTTTATTTCTGTAGGTGTTTACTTCAAACTATATAATATAAGTTTCTGGTCATCAACCACATCATATTTGACAAGGTTTACAACTCTAGCACAAAAATTATCAGTATTACCTCCCTTGAACTTAGAATTTTTATGGAAAAAAAATGTTGTCTTTTTTAAATAACTTCTTTATTTCCTAATGAATCATCTACTTCAAACTTCATACATGTATATATTTTGATTATTATCACTCAACATTTTTTAGAAGGTTAAATACTCTAGCAAGACTATTTCCAGAATTATGTGCCCCTTGAACTTAGATTTTTTTCGAGAAATTGGTATTTTTATGCCCCCACAAAGTGGGAGCATATAGCGTTGCACTTGTATGTCTGTCCGTCTTTCCGTCTGTCCATCCGTAAGTCCCGAAATCTTGTGAAAGCAACTCCTCTTAAACCGGATGGCAGATTTTGCTTAAACTTACAGGGATGAACAACCTTAATGTGTAGATGCAGTAAAGGAAGGAATTTTTTTGCTGCGACCAACTTTAACAGAATTATGGCACTTTGTTGATTTTTTTCACTATACCATATAGAAAATTTTGTGAACGCAAACTCCTCTTAAACCGGATGGCAGATTTTGCTTAAACTTCAGGGAAGAAACAACCTTAATGTTAGATGGAAGTTAAGGAAGGAATTTTGCTGCGACCATATTTAACAGAATTATGGACCTTTGTTGATGTTGTCACTATAATACTATGTAGAAATTTTGTGAACGCAACTCCTCTTAAACCGGATGGCAGATTTTGCTTAAACGTACAGGGAAGAACAACCTTAATGTGTAGATAGTAGTAAAGGAAGGAATTTTTGCTGCGACCAAATTTAACAGAATTATGGCACTTTGTTGATTTTTTCACTATACCATATAGAAATTTTGTGAACGCAACTCCTCTTAAACCGGATGGCAGATTTTGCTTAAACTTCCAGGGAAGAACAACCTTAATGTGTAGATGGAAGTTAAGGAAGGAATTTTTGCTGCGACCATATTTAACAGAATTATGGACCTTTGTTGATGTTGTCACTATATACTATGTAGAAATTTTGTGAATGCAACTCCTCTTAAACCGAATGGCAGATTTTGCTTAAACTTTTAGGGATGAACAACCTTCATGTCTAGATGGTAGTAAATGAAGGAATTTTTGCTGCGGCCAAATCTAACAGAATTATGGCCCGTTGTTGATTTTTTGTTTTCAACTTGAGGCCAATGTAGTCCAAAAAGTATTTGAGTCATAAGATTGACAGAACAGTGGCGTGTGGGGGCATCCGTGTACTATGGACACATTTCTAGTTTACTCCAACTTATTCATTGCTTATAGGATTTACTTTAAAATCTCACATCGTAATAATATGACAAGGTTGTATAAACATAATTTCCTTCGTAACTAGGCAGGGAAACTTAACACATTACTGTGATATAGACATACTTAGAACTCAAAAGATTTAAGTTCATTCATGTCATTCATTCACTGGTAAAATTGAATGGCCCATCAGAATGTTGCTGGGGTTCTAACCGGTAGGGGACTTATGGATTGCTTGCAATACTATGATATTTGTTTGTTGAATATTGGTTCTTCCGGGATACTTATAACTTTGAAAATATTTTCATTCTAGTTATGCTTTAGTGTAGTTTTTAGGCTCTCTTTAAAGGCAGTTGACAAATGAATCCCTTTCTTCACTGGTGACTATGGAACACTGGTAACACCTTTGCTAAAACCGAACTAGAGTATTATTTGTGAGTTACTTTTGTGTCAAATATGTAAAGTTGAGCCCATATCATGGTCTTTTGAGGCCATAATTATAGTTATAAAATTCAAAACTTTAGCCATAAAATTTCTAAATTTCTTTTATATACCCTAAATTTCCTAATTTAGCCCTAAAATTTCTTATAAATTGCCCTAAAATTTGCTCTAATTTTTTTGTCAGACGGTGCTGGACAGCCTGGCTATGCTTACAATTCTACACATTTTAGGTGGTCACAGTATGAATATACAGTGTCATTTTTTATTATAAGGAAGTAACAATTTGCTAAACGGCTATAAGGGAACAAAGCTCCTATACATAGTTAAATTCACTCTTTTATTCAAATTAGACATATTCAGTAAGAATTTTATGGCTTTAAATAAATTTCCATGATTAAAATTTTACTCGTGGATGAGCATAGTACAATGTATATCTATAGGCAGACATTTCCTTTGTTATTGAAATTATATACTGACCTGCATAATTGACCATGAAACGTGTACAAATGCAGTTTGGGGGCGAAATGGTTTACAACACTATGATATGCCTCGAAGTCAGATGTCTGTGGGTCAGTTGAAAGTTTGAATGTCGTTACACAGTCGTGTGTTTGTTATTAGGTCTTCAACTTTGGCACATGCCTTGGTTCCTAAAATACAAAAAATGTTACTGATAACCTTTGAAATATGTTATGTAAATCACAAATGAATTTGGTAAATACATTTTCTTATCAATGACGACTGATTCAATGTAGATTACACCATCCTTTAGTGTACATGATATTTTATGTTATTGTACATGTATATAGACTTAATATAATTCCCTATCTAAATGTAATGATTTCATGTTTCTGTATGGAACAAAAGTGTTCAGGTGTATTTAATCATCAATTCATATTCATAAGTTAAAATAATTTAGTTTATAATTATATTTGATGCTGTCAGCTAACAGCCACCATTAAATGTGTTCTTTAAATCTCTTTTACTATTGTACCACATACAATAAAATACTCTACAGCTTTGTCACTCCAGTTGTGTAGATAAACACATTCAGTATAATAAAATTTATGCAAAACATACATTGAACATACAGTTTTCCTAATTTCTTTATATATCATTTTGTTTCACTGTGGTCAGTAGAACCACTTTGTACCAATTGTACTTCCCAATCATTTGAGTTTGAAAACAAAACATGGCAAATTCAAAAGAAGCTACTGATAGTCTGATACCGAAGTTTAGTTCCTTAGTCTCAGATGTTTTCAAAGCTGCATAAAGTATGTCCTGAAGTACCTGTAACAATATTTAGTCCCATAAAGCTTGTTCGGAGCATAATTGAGTCAGTATAAGTCTGATTGACTTCAAACTTGGTATGCATGCTTCTTTCAATAACCCGAAGTGCAGTGCACAAGGACCGGTACTCTGCACTTCTTAATTTTTGAGTCATTGCCCTTTGTTAATTTCCATACCTTTATTTTGTCCGGGCCATTTCTCTTCAACTATAAAAGAAACATCAATATTGGTGTTTAAGTCCATGGTGTTGATAAAGACATTGTTATCAGTGGATGAAATGTCCATCACATTTGCTGTATCAAGCGCTGTAACTGCTTAGGAACTCTCTCCATCCAATTGTGAACCTTGTAGCAGAGTATTGGTTACTGACTGTTGCAGATGTAACTACCTCATAATGGACAGTACTGCCAGAAAAGGTCACCACAACAGGTTGCCCTATGAAAACTTTGAGTGTGCCAGCTTCAATGCTCAGTGTGTAGACCCCTTCTTCTTTTACTTTTATGGATTGTTTATTGCAGTCAGCATAAATTATGTCATTGTTTTTTTCCCCAAATGTACTTCACATCATGAATTGGTGGGTCTGAAACACCCAGTTATAAGAAATTCGGACTATCTTCTTCAATGCCAAATATAACATCTGGTCCATAAAACAACACATTGTTTTGCCTTTCAGTGGTGACATTTTGAGACTGTGGATAGAATACTTCACATTATCATTTTCGATTTCAGTTACGAAAAATCCATGCTCTTGTGAATGAAAATGCTCAAATTCCTGTTCATGATCATGAACCATATTATAGCAAGAAAGAGTTGAGTAACAGGATATAGTAGAGTCACACGGATGCAACTGTTTTCTGATACTTAATTTTGACAGTTCCAGCCTGAATTCCATTCACATAGAATGATGGTGGGCTCTCAATACTTTTCTTTCTTGTGCGCATATACAGATGAGACTGCGAAGAATATAATCCATGAGCCTTTAGGTAACCCTGGAAACTGCAAGGATTTCCTTCCAAGTCCTCAAAGTCAGTTATTTCATTTCCAGCAAAATTTGCTAGACCTATCTCCATTTCACTCAGTTTTCCCTGTTGGCTTTCATTGTTTGGAAAGAAGCGTTTCTTTCCCTCCTCTATGATACTTTTGACACATATTGGTTCATCTGACTTATATTCAATCATTCGCGTTCCTCCACCTCTCTTCACAGTTACTACCCGATACTTCTCACGGTCAAAGTGTTGCCAGCCTAAGTACAGCTTGTAGTGTGTGTGTTTACCTCGTCTTGTAACTGGTTTATTCTGAAATATAAAGTGTGAAATATAGTGACAAATATTTCAGTTCAATGGTTATTTTTAAAGTAACAAGGCTGTCTGAAATTATAGTGGGAGCATTACGCGGTCATTCAAAATGAAATGGATAATGTTTTTCAATTATATGACCTACTGACCTAGCTTTTGACCAGACATTATTCAATTTCACATGCATGGTATAAATATAAACATTTTTTGTTTGTTCTGGGTTTAGAGCCCCTTTTGAACAGAATTTCAGTTATGCAACGGCAGGCAGTTAACTTAAGCAGTGTTCCTGGATTCTGTACCAGTATAAACCTGTTCTCTGCAAGTAACTGCCAACTTCCTCACATGAATCCGAGGAGAAGGACGGATGATTTAAGACAAAATGTTGTTTATCAAAAAGCCACGGAGAACATGTGCCTAGCTAGCCCAAGTATCGGACTCACAATCCCGAGATCCATAGATCTGCGCTCTCCCTATTGAGCTAGGTGGGCGGGCTATAAACATTCTGAGCAAGAGTTATAAATCTCTGGCAGTAAATATGGCTGGTACCTTTATAAGGTTTTCCTATTATACAATAAACTTAGTGTTTATATATTTACATATCATATGTTATGTTTTTTTTTTTAAATCCCTGACAGGTGACAGACTAATAATATCTGTCATATTTTGCGGTTCGGATCGGAATATCCGTCCCGAGGTGACCCGCCCATTGGGCGGTAACGAGGCTTGCCGAGTTACCGCCCATGGGCGGGTGACCGAGGGACGGATATTCCGATCCGAACCCGCAAACATATGTCAGATATTTTTTCTTGCATATTCTACCATATTTCCATTATATTTTAAATTATTTATCTTTAATTTCAATGGAAATTTATATCATAACAACCGTAACTACTTTCTTACAACAGCGTATGAATTACAACTTCATTCATAACGGTAAAATGACGTCATCCTAAGCGTGCCATTGTGCAGCACGCGATTCATCTGGCATCCCCCATGCCAGATGAAATTTCCGGCATGGGTAAAACTCACGGAAACGCCAGTCTGATATGCAAGAATTATGGCTCACATTATGCAGTGTGACAGATGGACAGATATTGTCCATCTCTATACCCAACTGTTTTTCTTTGGAAAAGTAGGGGACAAAGACATAGCCTGTAATGACCAAATACGGTTTTTCATTATAAGACCTTATTGGCCTAGCTTCTAACCCAATTTTATGCTGTACGTATGCAGAACTTATCAATACAACTGTTCCTCCGATATCTGGCATGGTCTCTAAATGCATCTGACATGTTCTCATAGGAACTTTTTTGTATTTTGAAATTATAGTTAAATTATGAGTTTTTCATACTCACCATTGTAATATTTTCAGTCATGGACCTTGACTTTTTCTTAGCCTTTAATTTCTCAACAAGTGACGTAATCCTTTCTCTTCTCTTCTGAAAAATAAATCACTTTCTTAACTGTGGTTTTAGAAATGGTACTAGAGCTGTAGGAAGACAGTGTTCTTCACTATTCTCAATGCTCGATAGTATATGAATATGTACAAGCCATCTTGTGGAAATTGTTCATATCCAATAAGGTCAAGTAATGTATAAATCTTCTAAGTGAAAAAGGGTAGTAATTCTAGCCCACTGCTCACTACAGTTGTGGTCATCATGTTGGTAAACAAGTGTGCAAAATATAAATGAAATATGCCAATGTACTTTGAAAATATCTGGGGTGGTAGCTAAGCCTTGGCACAGATTTATAATAATAATAATGCATATTCTAAATGTGAAAGAACCATAATTCTGGCAAAAGTGTTTCTTGAGTTTTCGGCTTTTGTTTTTGTTCGTATACTGGGGTCATAATGGTAAACAAGTATGCAAAATACATATGTAATATGTCAGTGGACATTGAAAATATTTGGATTTATATAGTATGCCACCTCTAACGCGGGGGTCAGTAAGATTGCTCCCCTTTTCATAGAACAGTTATGCTAAGTTGCTCCAAGTTATGCTTTTGCACAAAAATAGATCTTCCTTTTAGGAACACTTGACAATTATAAAGGAAGAATTTGAATGAAATGACAACATTTTGCAAACAGAGAAAATTGCAAATTTTGTTTTATTTGAGTGTGTTCATAAGCAGTAACACTGCCTCTCTGACATCCACTTGTGACTAGCATATCGGCAAAGGGACACATGAACAATACTGTGATAATCTACAAGATATTGATCAGACTTGTATTGAACTTAAGTCTCTGCATATTACATATACATTTTCTCTGCTCTTGTACAACTATCAAACTTATGGAAGCCCTGGAGGGCCATTTTAAATTAATACCTAATAATTAAAACTTAATAATTAATAATTAAAACTTAATAATTAATATTTAAAAATAAAAACTTAATTATTAATTTCTAATTATTAAAATTTAAAATTAAATATTTATTTATTAGCTATTATATATATAGCGTGATCGGCAGACACAACACAGCATAGAACTGCCCGTGGTCTTTACGTTACTTACGCTACAGTTTCTGCCCGTTGTCTTTACGTTACTTACCCTATAGAGCTTGCAAATGTACAGGTACGTTTTTTATTGTAAGAAGTTATAACTAATTCATATAATTATGTATTCACTTTTATAAACGAAAATTTAGTGCAGGCAAACTGTGTAAACAGCTTAAAATATTTATTCTGCACAGTTTAAAATCACGTTCATTTTCACTTTCAATTATATGTAACTACTGCTAACTTTGAACAAAATCGCTGCATGATGGTACTATGGCGAAAAATACAATGGCAACATGATACGATTGTGAAATGCGATTTTGAAACGCATTGGTTTGAATGTGAAAACTTGGGGGATACATCACTAATTGAACATCGAACCATTGCGATTTTTTACCCACATACTAAAACGTCACCGGCCTGTGGTCTCTAAACAAGATTGTTCGCATGTATTAAAGTACTGCTGGCAACAGACGTTCTAGAAATTACAATTTGAATATATAAAGAGCGATCTAGTAGTCTAAATCAGAATTTACCTGTGGTTTGGATACTGCATATAGTATATGACTTCTGTTTTGTTTAAATCTGTTTAAAGTTTTGTAAACTTTACATGGTTACATTTCAGGCATACACAGTCCCTTGATATAGTAAGGCACTGTTGCTAAAAGCATATTTAAATTGTTTTCAGGTGAAAATGGCTACCTGGCTGATAGTACTCATTCTCATGGCAACAGAAGTTTCGTTAACATCAGCTATGCTAACTTCAGTTCTACCACCGTCAGGAAATGTATTGACTAGGTTAGAATTGATAAAGGAATATTTCTTTGCTGGTTTCAAGTACGTAGAGATTGTCCTGCTCTTATTTTGTCGCCATAATATTCGTTTGAGTCTTAGTCAGCTTAAACGTATTCTCAAACAACAGAGTCTACGCCGTCGACAAGTTACATACGCACCAGAACACTGTGTTAAGGACATAATAGAAAAAGAACTTTTATTTAGTGGGAGCTGTATAGGATATCGCAGTATGTGGCAAAGACTTAAAAATGACTATCATTTAAAAGTTAAACGAAATGATGTTATGTTATTACTCAGACAACTCGATCCTGAAGGTGTTGAAGCAAGAAGGGCTCATCGGTTAAGAAGAAGAACATACACCGTGCCGAAACTACTTTCTTGAAACTGTCAAAACGAACTCTTGTGTTCCGAGAATTATTCGTGCAGACTGTGGTACAGAAAACTCTATAATAGCTGTCTTACAGCCATTGTTACGGTTTAACCACCAAGATTCTCTAGCGGGAATTAAAAGTTTTATCTACGGACGGAGTACTTCAAACCAGCGAATTGAACGGTGGTGGGGCTATTTAAGAAGTCAGGGATTAAACTGGTGGATTAATACATTTAAAGATTTACGCGATGCAGGACACTTCGATGCCTTTGATCCTGTGCAGGTAGAGTGTATAAGATTTTGTTTTACAGACGTGCTTCAGGCAGAGCTGGACCGAATCGCCAGAAACTGGAACTTACACAATGTGCGACCACAACGAAATGCAGAAATCCTTTGTGGTAAACCAGAAATGATGTTCCATGTCCCAGAATTGTACGGGAATCGTGAATACGGTATGGCCGCTGACATAAACGATGTTCGAGTTTGCCAGGATCTATATACTGTTCCTAAGGTGGTGTGTAGCGAGCATTTCAAGCAACTAGCTCACTTGCTTAAACCAGATTTAGAAATGCCATCCGATAGCAGTTCGGCACTTGAGCTGTACAACTCATTGTTATTGCTTTATGACCAAGATTTAATATGATTTAGTTGCAGGCAATTTTTGTTTTCAAATGGTACTTATACCCAATAAAGCATACAGATGACAGGCGTGCCTTTTACACTTACATTCTAAACATGATAAGTACGGTACGAGCACCGTGACACGTCTTGGTAGGTTATCAGGCATGCAGTCCTAAAATAAGTTTCAATTTGATACCCCTGCTATATTTCAACATTTCTTTGTACAATTGTTATTTGCATACACAGTAATTTTTGCCAAGTAACATATTAAGGCTCTGTATTGACAATTTCACTGGTTCTCATCAAATCAGTTGAAAAATAAGTCAAGTGAACTGGACATGCTGTTGAAAGCAAACCTGTATTGTGGTCCTTAGCCCTTTTTAAAGCGAATGACCTTGAGCTTTGTTATAGCCCTTTTTAAAGCGAATGACCTTGAGCTTTGACATAGCCCATTTTAAAGCGAGTGAGCTTTGACCATGTGACCTCAAAAACAATAGAGGTTAATATGGTAAGCAATCATTTGAAGTTTGAAAACTGTACGGTAATCCAGTTATAATAAAAACTTATTTAATATATTTTTTTCACATTCAATGTCACTTTGACCATGACCTAACGAGCACTTAAAGAATTTAAACTCATGGTCACAGAAGATTTTTAAAAATTTTCTGATAGACGCTTATGTAAAATCAAAATGGATGTCCGGAGAGACGACGGATATCATGCTTTCACAATAGCTCACTGTAAGCACTTCATGCTCAAGACTGGCTTCGAAATACATGTACTACATAATTATGGGCGTCCGTGGCCGAGTGGTTAAGGTCATTGACTTCAAACCACTTGCCCCTCATTGATGTGGGTCCGGTTCGAATCCCGCCAGGGACTTTGGATTCTTTTATGCGAGGAAGCTATCCAGCTAGCTTCGGGAACGTTGGTGGTTCTACTCAGGTGTCCGTTCGTGCCTGAAATAGGGCATAGAGGGGCGCCTGAGGTCTTCCTCAACCAGTAAAGCTGGAAACTCGCCATATGACCTTTACAGTGTTGGTGCGACTTTAAACCCAACAACAACAAAAAATTTGTGTCGTTCCACTTGCGGTATAAAATCGTAACATAACACCGGGTACGCTGAAGTCCTTAAGCTAGCTCAGGTCAAGTAAGACGAAAAAAAACAAACAAACAAAAGCTTTATTCTTGAGTGAAATCATTTTAATAGACAGTGAAAAATGTCAACAGAACATAATACTACAAACATTTTTGATGGAAACAAATTCTGACTTTGATCCTGGAGATATTTTTTATAATATTATGATAGTTCTTAATTACTTGGAAATTGGAAAAATTGCTCAGAAAAAAAGCAAATAAGGTTTTAGAATAAGTTTTGTACAGGGTTCAATGTTTATGTGAGGAATAGCATATCAAAGTATCATAATGTAGTAATATTGTTACAGTTCACATGCACCTGTAAATACTGTAGGACAGCAAGCTCACCTACTCTCCGTTGCTTGATATCTTGTATTTATACAATTGCTGAAGGTATTCTTTTAAAACTTTATACATAATGTTTTTGGTCAGAAAACTGTAGATCACTTATTGAGATACTGAGAGTTGTTGATGCATTTGTCTCATTTGCACTTCAAGGTTTCCTCATGAAGACATCATGAAATATATACAAGAATTATTCTTGAATTTTTCATGATTATCTCGTGAAGTATGATTGACCATTTGGCAGGTGCAAAAACCACACATTATTATATCATATTGTTCTACACTGAAATATTATGTACAATATTCTACAATGTTATATTATATTATATAATATTATTATAGCATATAATATCATATCATTTAATATCATATTATATTATACAATACTGTATGCTTTACTCTGTTACAATACACTAAATTTTATATAAATGTTATTTTAGATTATACTATACTGTGCTACATGTATATTATACTGTGCTGTACAAAATAATGTATATAATACTATATATATTATACTATACTTTACAGTACTACATTTGTATACTATTGTACATAAGATTTTTACATATTTAACCCCTCGTTACTGGCTCAGGTGAGCTAAAATCAAACTGTGGAAAAAAACTCAACAAGCAAGATTAATAATGATTGTTTTCTTCATATGTCACAAACTTTGAGAAAAAAAGAATCACTGACAGTTTGATATATCTCAGCTCTGGGCCGAATGGTTCTTTGGAGAAAATTTT